GGTCTCTAACGGACTAATTATTGATGTCATATGACTAAGCGGCAGCGCCGCAACGTTAAACACATCTCCAGCATCGAGAGCTGCTAGCTGTGGGGATTGACTATACCGCCGATTCAAGTACTCGGGTAGCGGCGCAAAATGCGTGGCGTAGACTCATAGGCCATACGTGAGCATCGTGGGGGCCACAGGGAGCAGCGAAAGGGACAAAAGGCAAAGGTAGAAGAAGCATAATGAATATAAGAGTGCGCGTGCCCGGATTCGAACCAGGGATTTCACCGCCACAAGGTGAGGTACTGACCACTATACTACACACGCCTGGAGAAGCAGGGTATCGATCCCTGTACCTCTCGCATGCTAAGCGAGCGCTCTACCATTTGAGCTACATCCTCGGATACTCGATACACATCCCCTCAACGATAACATTCACATTGCGGACGCACCACCACCTCACACACTCTCACATGCACCCTGCGCTTCCCACGCCGCTCACGCCTCTCTTCCGTATGATCCGAGCATCCGAAATAGTAGAAATTGTATGCGAGACCATACAGCCCTCCAAAATCACCTCACATAAGTGCAACCTTTACCGCTGCGTGCACGGCTTAACGAGACTTGTAGAAGCTGCCCGCGTAGTGCTCAGTCATACACGAAGCCTTTTATGCCGATTTGAGGCGTTCCGAAGTCGAATCCACTCGCCAAACAAATTGTCATGCTGACCGGATCATCGACTGATGCGACCGTGAAACACTCTCTCGGTAGGCGCCATCCCTTGACTAGTGGTCTCTAACGGACTAATTATTGATGTCATATGACTAAGCGGCAGCGCCGCAACGTTAAACACATCTCCAGCATCGAGAGCTGCTAGCTGTGGGGATTGACTATACCGCCGATTCAAGTACTCGGGTAGCGGCGCAAAATGCGTGGCGTAGACTCATAGGCCATACGTGAGCATCGTGGGGGCCACAGGGAGCAGCGAAAGGGACAAAAGGCAAAGGTAGAAGAAGCATAATGAATATAAGAGTGCGCGTGCCCGGATTCGAACCAGGGATTTCACCGCCACAAGGTGAGGTACTGACCACTATACTACACACGCCTGGAGAAGCAGGGTATCGATCCCTGTACCTCTCGCATGCTAAGCGACCGCTCTACCATTTGAGCTACATCCCCGGATACTCGATACACATCCCCGCCAACGATTAAATTCACATTGCGGACGCACCACCACCTCCCACACACTCTCACATGCACCCTGCGCTTCCCACGCCGCTCACGCCTCTCTTCCGTATAATCCGAGCATCCGAAATAGTAGAAATTGTATGCGAGACCATACAGCCCTCCAAAATCACTTCACATAATTGCAACCTTTACCGCTGCGTGCACGGCTTAACGAGACTTGTAGAAGCTGCCCGCGTAGTGCTCAGTCATACACGAAGCCTTTTATGCTGATTTGAGGCGTTCCGAAGTCGAATCCACTCGCCAAACAAATTGTCATGCTGACCGGATCATCGACTGATGCGACCGTGAAACACTCTCTCGGTAGGCGCCATCCCTTGACTAGTGGTCTCTAACGGACTAATTATTGATGTCAGTTGACTAAGCGGCAGCGCCGCAACGTTTAAACACATCTGGAGCATCGAGAGCTGCTAGCTGTGGGGATTGACTATACCGCCGATTCAAGTACTCGGGTAGCGGCGCAAAATGCGTGGCGTAGACTCATAGGCCATACGTGAGCATCGTGGGGGCCACAGGGAGCAGCGAAAGGGACAAAAGGCAAAGGTAGAAGAAGCATAATGAATATAAGAGTGCGCGTGCCCGGATTCGAACCAGGGATTTCACCGCCACAAGGTGAGGTACTGACCACTATACTACACACGCCTGGAGAAGCAGGGTATCGATCCCTGTACCTCTCGCATGCTAAGCGAGCGCTCTACCATTTGAGCTACATCCCCGGATACTCGATACACATCCCCGCCAACGATTAAATTCACATTGCGGACGCACCACCACCTCACACACACTCTCACATGCACCCTGCGCTTCCCACGCCGCTCACGCCTCTCTTCCGTATGATCCGAGCATCCGAAATAGTAGAAATTGTATGCGAGACCATACAGCCCTCCAAAATCACCTCACATAATTGCAACCTTTACCGCTGCGTGCACGGCTAAACGAGACTTGTAGAAGCTGCCCGCGTAGTGCTCAGTCATACACGAAGCCTTTTATGCCGATTTGAGGCGTTCCGAAGTCGAATCCACTCGCCAAACAAATTGTCATGCTGACCGGATCATCGACTGATGCGACCGTGAAACACTCTCTCGGTAGGCGCCATCCCTTGACTAGTGGTCTCTAACGGACTAATTATTGATGTCAGCTGACTAAGCGGCAGCGCCGCAACGTTAAACACATCTGGAGCATCGAGAGCTGCTAGCTGTGGGGATTGACTATACCGCCGATTCAAGTACTCGGGTAGCGGCGCAAAATGCGTGGCGTAGACTCATAGGCCATACGTGAGCATCGTGGGGGCCACAGGGAGCAGCGAAAGGGACAAAAGGCAAAGGTAGAAGAAGCATAATGAATATAAGAGTGCGCGTGCCCGGATTCGAACCAGGGATTTCACCGCCACAAGGTGAGGTACTGACCACTATACTACACACGCCTGGAGAAGCAGGGTATCGATCCCTGTACCTCTCGCATGCTAAGCGAGCGCTCTACCATTTGAGCTACATCCCCGGATACTCGATACACATCCCCGCCAACGATTAAATTCACATTGCGGACGCACCACCACCTCACACACACTCTCACATGCACCCTGCGCTTCCCACGCCGCTCACGCCTCTCTTCCGTATGATCCGAGCATCCGAAATAGTAGAAATTGTATGCGAGACCATACAGCCCTCCAAAATCACTTCACATAATTGCAACCTTTACCGCTGCGTGCACGGCTTAACGAGACTTGTAGAAGCTGCCCGCGTAGTGCTCAGTCATACACGAAGCCTTTTATGCCGATTTGAGGCGTTCCGAAGTCGAATCCACTCGCCAAACAAATTGTCATGCTGACCGGATCATCGACTGATGCGACCGTAAAACACTCTCTCGGCAGGCGCCATCCCTTGACTAGTGGTCTCTAATGGACTAATTATTGATGTCAGTTGACTAAGCGGCAGCGCCGCAACGTTAAACACATCTGGAGCATCGAGAGCTGCTAGCTGTGGGGATTGACTATACCGCCGATTCAAGTACTCGGGTAGCGGCGCAAAATGCGTGGCGTAGACTCATAGGCCATACGTGAGCATCGTGGGGGCCACAGGGAGCAGCGAAAGGGACAAAAGGCAAAGGTAGAAGAAGCATAATGAATATAAGAGTGCGCGTGCCCGGATTCGAACCAGGGATTTCACCGCCACAAGGTGAGGTACTGACCACTATACTACACACGCCTGGAGAAGCAGGGTATCGATCCCTGTACCTTTCGCATGCTAAGCGAGCGCTCTACCATTTGAGCTACATCCCCGGATACTCGATACACATCCCCTCCAACGATAAAATTCACATTGCGGACGCACCACCACCTCACACACACTCTCACATGCACCCTGCGCTTCCCACGCCGCTCACGCCTCTCTTCCGTATGATCCGAGCATCCGAAATAGTAGAAATTGTATGCGAGACCATACAGCCCTCCAAAATCACCTCACATAATTGCAACCTTTACCGCTGCGTGCACGGCTTAACGAGACTTGTAGAAGCTGCCCGCGTAGTGCTCAGTCATACACGAAGCCTTTTATGCCGATTTGAGGCGTTCCGAAGTCGAATCCACTCGCCAAACAAATTGTCATGCTGACCGGATCATCGACTGATGCGACCGTGAAACGCTCTCTCGGTAGGCGCCATCCCTTGACTAGTGGTCTCTATCGGACTAATTATTGATGTCGGTTGACTAAGCGGCAGCGCCGCAACGTTAAACACATCTGGAGCATCGAGAGCTGCTAGCTGTGGGGATTGACTATACCGCCGATTCAAGTACTCGGGTAGCGGCGCAAAATGCGTGGCGTAGACTCATAGGCCATACGTGAGCATCGTGGGGGCCACAGGGAGCAGCGAAAGGGACAAAAGGCAAAGGTAGAAGAAGCATAATGAATATAAGAGTGCGCGTGCCCGGATTCGAACCAGGGATTTCACCGCCACAAGGTGAGGTACTGACCACTATACTACACACGCCTGGAGAAGCAGGGTATCGATCCCTGTACCTCTCGCATGCTAAGCGAGCGCTCTACCATTTGAGCTACATCCCCGGATACTCGATACACATCCCCTCCAACGATAAAATTCACATTGCGGACGCACCACCACCTCACACACACTCTCACATGCACCCTGCGCTTCCCACGCCGCTCACGCCTCTCTTCCGTATGATCCGAGCATCCGAAATAGTAGAAATTGTATGCGAGACCATACAGCCCTCCAAAATCACCTCACATAATTGCAACCTTTACCGCTGCGTGCACGGCTTAACGAGACTTGTAGAAGCTGCCCGCGTAGTGCTCAGTCATACACGAAGCCTTTTATGCCGATTTGAGGCGTTCCGAAGTCGAATCCACTCGCCAAACAAATTGTCATGCTGACCGGATCATCGACTGATGCGACCGTGAAACACTCTCTCGGTAGGCGCCATCCCTTGACTAGTGGTCTCTAACGGACTAATTATTGATGTCAGTTGACTAAGCGGCAGCGCCGCAACGTTAAACACATCTCCAGCATCGAGAGCTGCTAGCTGTGGGGATTGACTATACCGCCGATTCAAGTACTCGGGTAGCGGCGCAAAATGCGTGGCGTAGACTCATAGGCCATACGTGAGCATCGTGGGGGCCACAGGGAGCAGCGAAAGGGACAAAAGGCAAAGGTAGAAGAAGCATAATGAATATAAGAGTGCGCGTGCCCGGATTCGAACCAGGGATTTCACCGCCACAAGGTGAGGTACTGACCACTATACTACACACGCCTGGAGAAGCAGGGTATCGATCCCTGGAACTCTCGCATGCTAAGCGAGCGGCTCTACCATTTGAGCTACATCCCCGGATACTCGGATACACATCCCCCTCCTACGAACAAATTCACATTTGCGGAATGCACCACCGCCTTCAGACACACTCTCACAATGGACACTGAGGTTTCCCAGAGCGGTGCACGGCCTTGTCTTCCTGTATGGATCTGAGCATCCGAATAGTAGAAATTGTATGCGAGACCATACAGCCCTCCAAAATCACCTCACATAATTGCAACCTTTACCGCTGCGTGCACGGCTTAACGAGACTTGTAGAAGCTGCCCGCGTAGTGCTCAGTCATACACGAAGCCTTTTATGCCGATTTGAGGCGTTCCGAAGTCGAATCCACTCGCCAAATGCTGACCGGATCATCGACTGATGCGACCGTAAAACACTCTCTCGGCAGGCGCCATCCCTTGACTAGTGGTCTCTAACGGACTAATTATTGATGTCAGTTGACTAAGCGGCAGCGCCGCAACGTTAAACACATCTGGAGCATCGAGAGCTGCTAGCTGTGGGGATTGACTATACCGCCGATTCAAGTACTCGGGTAGCGGCGCAAAATGCGTGGCGTAGACTCATAGGCCATACGTGAGCATCGTGGGGGCCACAGGGAGCAGCGAAAGGGACAAAAGGCAAAGGTAGAAGAAGCATAATGAATATAAGAGTGCGCGTGCCCGGATTCGAACCCAGGGATTTCACCGCCACAAGGTGAGGTACTGACCACTATACTACACACGCGCTGGAGAAGCAGGGTATCGATCCCTGTACCTCTCGCATGCTAAGCGAGCGCTCTAACATTTGAGCTACATTCCCGGATACTCGATACACATCCCCGCCAACGATAAAATTCACATTGCGGACGCACCACCACCTCACACACACTCTCACATGCACCCTGCGCTTCCCACGCCGCTCACGCCTCTCTTCCGTATGATCCGAGCATCCGAAATAGTAGAAATTGTATGCGAGACCATACAGCCCTCCAAAATCACTTCACATAATTGCAACCTTTACCGCTGCGTGCACGGCTTAACGAGACTTGTAGAAGCTGCCCGCGTAGTGCTCAGTCATACACGAAGCCTTTTATGCCGATTTGAGGCGTTCCGAAGTCGAATCCACTCGCCAAACAAATTGTCATGCTGACCGGATCATCGACTGATGCGACCGTGAAACACTCTCTCGGTAGGCGCCATCCCTTGACTAGTGGTCTCTAACGGACTAATTATTGATGTCAGTTGACTAAGCGGCAGCGCCGCAACGTTAAACACATCTGGAGCATCGAGAGCTGCTAGCTGTGGGGATTGACTATACCGCCGATTCAAGTACTCGGGTAGCGGCGCAAAATGCGTGGCGTAGACTCATAGGCCATACGTGAGCATCGTGGGGGCCACAGGGAGCAGCGAAAGGGACAAAAGGCAAAGGTAGAAGAAGCATAATGAATATAAGAGTGCGCGTGCCCGGATTCGAACCAGGGATTTCACCGCCACAAGGTGAGGTACTGACCACTATACTACACACGCCTGGAGAAGCAGGGTATCGATCCCTGTACCTCTCGCATGCTAAGCGAGCGCTCTACCATTTGAGCTACATCCTCGGATACTCGATACACATCCCCTCCAACGATAAAATTCACATTGCGGACGCACCACCACCTCACACACACTCTCACATGCACCCTGCGCTTCCCACGCCGCTCACGCCTCTCTTCCGTATGATCCGAGCATCCGAAATAGTAGAAATTGTATGCGAGACCATACAGCCCTCCAAAATCACCTCACATAATTGCAACCTTTACCGCTGCGTGCACGGCTTAACGAGACTTGTAGAAGCTGCCCGCGTAGTGCTCAGTCATACACGAAGCCTTTTATGCCGATTTGAGGCGTTCCGAAGTCGAATCCACTCGCCAAACAAATTGTCATGCTGACCGGATCATCGACTGATGCGACCGTAAAACACTCTCTCGGCAGGCGCCATCCCTTGACTAGTGGTCTCTAACGGACTAATTATTGATGTCAGTTGACTAAGCGGCAGCGCCGCAACGTTAAACACATCTGGAGCATCGAGAGCTGCTAGCTGTGGGGATTGACTATACCGCCGATTCAAGTACTCGGGTAGCGGCGCAAAATGCGTGGCGTAGACTCATAGGCCATACGTGAGCATCGTGGGGGCCACAGGGAGCAGCGAAAGGGACAAAAGGCAAAGGTAGAAGAAGCATAATGAATATAAGAGTGCGCGTGCCCGGATTCGAACCAGGGATTTCACCGCCACAAGGTGAGGTACTGACCACTATACTACACACGCCTGGAGAAGCAGGGTATCGATCCCTGTACCTCTCGCATGCTAAGCGAGCGCTCTACCATTTGAGCTACATCCCCGGATACTCGATACACATCCCCTCCAACGATAAAATTCACATTGCGGACGCACCACCACCTCACACACACTCTCACATGCACCCTGCGCTTCCCACGCCGCTCACGCCTCTCTTCCGTATGATCCGAGCATCCGAAATAGTAGAAATTGTATGCGAGACCATACAGCCCTCCAAAATCACCTCACATAATTGCAACCTTTACCGCTGCGTGCACGGCTTAACGAGACTTGTAGAAGCTGCCCGCGTAGTGCTCAGTCATACACGAAGCCTTTTATGCCGATTTGAGGCGTTCCGAAGTCGAATCCACTCGCCAAATGCTGACCGGATCATCGACTGATGCGACCGTAAAACACTCTCTCGGCAGGCGCCATCCCTTGACTAGTGGTCTCTAACGGACTAATTATTGATGTCAGTTGACTAAGCGGCAGCGCCGCAACGTTAAACACATCTGGAGCATCGAGAGCTGCTAGCTGTGGGGATTGACTATACCGCCGATTCAAGTACTCGGGTAGCGGCGCAAAATGCGTGGCGTAGACTCATAGGCCATACGTGAGCATCGTGGGGGCCACAGGGAGCAGCGAAAGGGACAAAAAGCAAAGGTAGAAGAAGCATAATGAATATAAGAGTGCGCGTGCCCGGATTCGAACCAGGGATTTCACCGCCACAAGGTGAGGTACTGACCACTATACTACACACGCCTGGAGAAGCAGGGTATCGATCCCTGTACCTCTCGCATGCTAAGCGAGCGCTCTACCATTTGAGCTACATCCCCGGATACTCGATACACATCCCCGCCAACGATTAAATTCACATTGCGGACGCACCACCACCTCACACACACTCTCACATGCACCCTGCGCTTCCCACGCCGCTCACGCCTCTCTTCCGTATGATCCGAGCATCCGAAATAGTAGAAATTGTATGCGAGACCATACAGCCCTCCAAAATCACTTCACATAATTGCAACCTTTACCGCTGCGTGCACGGCTTAACGAGACTTGTAGAAGCTGCCCGCGTAGTGCTCAGTCATACACGAAGCCTTTTATGCCGATTTGAGGCGTTCCGAAGTCGAATCCACTCGCCAAACAAATTGTCATGCTGACCGGATCATCGACTGATGCGACCGTGAAACACTCTCTCGGTAGGCGCCATCCCTTGACTAGTGGTCTCTAACGGACTAATTATTGATGTCAGTTGACTAAGCGGCAGCGCCGCAACGTTAAACACATCTGGAGCATCGAGAGCTGCTAGCTGTGGGGATTGACTATACCGCCGATTCAAGTACTCGGGTAGCGGCGCAAAATGCGTGGCGTAGACTCATAGGCCATACGTGAGCATCGTGGGGGCCACAGGGAGCAGCGAAAGGGACAAAAAGCAAAGGTAGAAGAAGCATAATGAATATAAGAGTGCGCGTGCCCGGATTCGAACCAGGGATTTCACCGCCACAAGGTGAGGTACTGACCACTATACTACACACGCCTGGAGAAGCAGGGTATCGATCCCTGTACCTCTCGCATGCTAAGCGAGCGCTCTACCATTTGAGCTACATCCCCGGATACTCGATACACATCCCCTCCAACGATAAAATTCACATTGCGGACGCACCACCACCTCACACACACTCTCACATGCACCCTGCGCTTCCCACGCCGCTCACGCCTCTCTTCCGTATGATCCGAGCATCCGAAATAGTAGAAATTGTATGAGTGACCATACAGCCCTCCAAAATCACTTCACATAATTGCAACCTTTACCGCTGCGTGCACGGCTTAACGAGACTTGTAGAAGCTGCCCGCGTAGTGCTCAGTCATACACGAAGCCTTTTATGCCGATTTGAGGCGTTCCGAAGTCGAATCCACTCGCCAAACAAATTGTCATGCTGACCGGATCATCGACTGATGCGACCGTGAAACACTCTCTCGGTAGGCGCCATCCCTTGACTAGTGGTCTCTAACGGACTAATTATTGATGTCAGTTGACTAAGCGGCAGCGCCGCAGCGTTAAACACATCTGGAGCATCGAGAGCTGCTAGCTGTGGGGATTGACTATACCGCCGATTCAAGTACTCGGGTAGCGGCGCAAAATGCGTGGCGTAGACTCATAGGCCATACGTGAGCATCGTGGGGGCCACAGGGAGCAGCGAAAGGGACAAAAGGCAAAGGTAGAAGAAGCATAATGAATATAAGAGTGCGCGTGCCCGGATTCGAACCAGGGATTTCACCGCCACAAGGTGAGGTACTGATCACTATACTACACACGCCTGGAGAAGCAGGGTATCGATCCCTGTACCTCTCGCATGCTAAGCGAGCGCTCTACCATTCGAGCTACATCCCCGGATACTCGATACACATCCCCTCCAACGATAAAATTCACATTGCGGACGCACCACCACCTCACACACACTCTCACATGCACCCTGCGCTTCCCACGCCGCTCACGCCTCTCTTCTGTATGATCCGAGCATCCGAAATAGTAGAAATTGTATGCGAGACCATACAGCCCTCCAAAATCACTTCACATAATTGCAACCTTTACCGCTGCGTGCACGGCTTAACGAGACTTGTAGAAGCTACCCGCGTAGTGCTCAGTCATACACGAAGCCTTTTATGCCGATTTGAGGCGTTCCGAAGTCGAATCCACTCGCCAAACAAATTG